CCCCCGGCGGCCCCACGCCCCCCGCACCCTGTGCTGCCGCCGCTCCGCCGCTCGGCCCCGCGCCTGCCGGGGCCGCACCGCCCCTCTCGCCACGCGGCAGCCACTGCGCTGCCCCGTCCCGCCACCGGGGGCAGCACAGCCGGGGGCAGCCCCGCCCCGCCCCGCCTGCCCCGCCCCGCCACCGCCACCGCCACCGCCCCCGGCCCCGGCCCCGGCCCGCGCCCGCCCGCACCGCGGGCTCCGCCGCTGCCCCCCGCCCGCCCCCGCGCCCCGCGGCGGCGCCGCGCCTGACGCGACTTCCTGAGCGCCCGTGCCGAGCCCCGCCGGCCGCAGGGCCCCGCCGCTGCCCGCCCGCTCCGCCGCGGCACCTTTACACCTTTGCATCCCCGCACAGCCGCTGCGGTGCCCGTGCCCCGCCTGCCCGCTGCGGCCCCGGCCCTGGGGCAGCCGCCGCATCGTCCGACAGCCGCTGCCACCGCCCCCGCGCCCGGCGAGAGCAGCGACTCGCGGCTGCTTTGCCCTCAAATCTGAGCTGCTAAAACAGGAAAACGCTGGAAAAGCGATGTGAAATGATGTTTAATAGTGTTTAAATGGGTTTACGGCAACCCAAGAGTAGCCGTTGAGAACAACTGCAGAAATTTCGGGACAGGTATCGATCTGCCCCCCCGGCCTTGCGGCAGTGCCAGTTTGCCTTTTACTGAGCGCAAAAGTAAATGTTGATTGAGATTGCTACACACAGGCGAGAGTATCCTTTGGCTTTGGCATTCTTGGGCTATTTAAAGACAGGTTCTTTGTGGCTTGAGTTACAGACCAACCAGTGCCTACATTTTTTCTTTGAATATCTGTTTGCAGTGCAACACAGGAATAAAGTGGCAAGATACAAGACATCACTTTATACTAATGCAGATACTCTAATTAGAAATCTAAGTAACCCAAGGAGGTGTTCTCTTAAGGGTCTTCCTTCTAGATGTCATTTTGAGTGTATCACAAATAAGAATCGTTAAGTAAGAATTACAAATTACTTTCACACATTAAAGAAGATCCATAAGAAGTGATAGACAAAAAAACAACTGCTACATGCACATGTGAGTTGCCCTACTCCCCACAACTGAGTGCCTTCAGGAAGTACTACTGGAGTATTACAGCAGATAGTTTACAGAGCATTCTGCATTTTATGGCTCAGAAGGGATTTTGAGTCTGAATTTTCCCCCTTTAGCAAGAAATTATATTCTTCACAAAGTGGACTTGCAAAGACACCTACTTTTCAAATAAAAAATACGATAAGATGTGAGATAGTGAAACGTGCAACTCACATAAAGTTTGTATTTCTGTGTAATAAGCAGTGCAGCGTTTGTGTATTGCAATTGTGTATTGTATTTTCTAGGGCATCACATTTTGTATAAAGAAAGGACAATCTCTAATGGTACTTCTTAGAGCACATTCACATACTAAAGTTTTCATCCAGTTTTCTCATAATCTGGGCCAGGAATTTCAGATTTGAAATTCTTGAGAAGGTGAAGGAGAGGTGGTGAAATTGTACCAAGCACCCACTTAAAACTTTTGGTCTTGAGAAGGAACGTAGCTAGAATCTCTGGCCACTTTGAAATACAACCCCATAACTGTCCAGCTTTATAACAAAGCTTTTGACTTGATATCGACTTTTTCTTGAAGTGATTTGTTGAAGATCAGCCAGGACAGAGGGGACAGATTTTGCTTTCAACTGGGTCTGCTTCAAGTAAGAGGATTTGTAGCTGCTTCACTAATCAGAGGCAAGCCAGGAGTCTGTCTGTATGAAAAAGAAATAATACATAAGGGTTTCACTGACAGAGTCACAGTGTTACTGTCAGTGATGTGATTTCAGTTATTACATCCTCATCTCAGCTTTGCTTGCACAACGACCATCTCATTGCCCTGGTGGAGGCCAGAGAAGGAAACGCCTGTCTCCGATTCTGTGACCCAGAGCAGGGCCACATCCCACACTCAGGATTGCATGGTGTTTGACCTAGGTGTCAAGCCTCATGGAAGCATCAGAAGGGGAAGCTCTGAACTCCTCTCTGAAAAGTGAGATCAAGTGTTACATCACGTATTCCTGTAAGTCTCTTGGCATAAGGAGCAGATCACAGAAGTAAAATCCCAGTATAACACTGCAGCCCACATCCTGATCATTGCTTCCAGCATGGGTCTGTCTGTGTGCAATAGGGGAAGTCAGAGCCTGAATCATGTCAGAAATCACATTGGAGGGTATGATTCAACAGCTGGATTACATGAAAACTGATTATAACAGATGGTAACGAACAGTTATATCTAGAGTCTAAGCAAATGCAGGAAACATAAGGCAGTTAAAATTCTTATTAATGTTGTCTAATAATTTAATTGTTCCACTGATTTTGTATTGTTATTTGGGAACTTCTTAGTAGATACTTTTTAAAAAAAACCCTCAAGACTGCTTACACACAACTTAACCTTCTCTAGGTATGGAATCATTTTGATTTTTTTTTCCTCTTCCACACATAAAAATAGGCTATCAATGAGTGTACTAGGTTTCAGTGTGCTATAATGTAACTCACAGCAAACTCTCATTCACTGAGTGTAAACCAAGCTTGTCTGCTTTGTTTCCCTCTATAAAAATTAGTATAGCCCATTCAGAATCTAATATGGAGCTTTTAGCATGTCTTTTCCTTGCACACTTTTACACTGGTATATTTCTTCTGGTTGCAAACCAGTTATTTCTGTGATATAAGCAATACAACAATCAGAACAAAAGCCTCAATGGCTTTATCATAATTTTATGCAGCCTCTAGAGTTTGATTTTGGTATAATTTATGAGAAAACTGCTTAGGCTATTCTCTAGACTGTTTTGAACAGAACAATAGTGTTTTACTCATAATGATTCTATGTAATAATAATAAAAAAGGTTTTCATTATGACTGTAAAGCAGTTTTCTTGTTTTTCTAACCTTAGAAAATTCTTGTCTTATTGTAAAATAAATCCAGAGATAATTTTGCCACTTATTTGAAAAGGATCCTGAATTAGTCTAATGGAAATTGCAGCTTAGCAAGATCTTTTTACACTTGTATAAATCCTCAGGCTTAGTAGTAAAATCTCATTTCAGTACTGAAAGCTTGGTGGTGATGTTGTGTTGCCATGGAATCAAGCAAATGGGAAAAATTTTGGAGTGCCTCAAAGGAACAGACTTTCAGAGCTGCATGTGCTCCAAAAAGCTCAAATACCGCTGGGTTTCGCTTCCAGAAAATGGAGACTCTATCCTGCTTCCATTGAAGTCAATGGGAGGCTTGCCACTGATCTCAGTAGGAGTGGGAGCATGCCTGAGTTTTCCAATCCATCTTTTTAAACTTCTTAAACCGAAGTGTTAACCGTGCCAGTGAGTCCAGGGAGGTAATTTGCATATGATGGCAAATGAGCAGAACCCTGGCTTTGTGTGAATAAGCTTCTGACCACATTTGTGCATAGCAGCCTGCAGATGAGAAAAAGCTGGCAGGACCCTTTTTTTCTTAGTCCTTCCTATTTTTAAATTCCTCATGAAGCTTCCAACAGAGTTCAACAAAGTACCTGTTTGCTAGACAGTGCTATGGGGAGGAGGGGGGAGAAGGGACAAGGGGACTTCTTTTTGCATTGCCTCAACTCTGGCTCTGTTCCCCAAGCTCATGTCCAGCGATTCCCATGATGTCACTTTTAGTAATGGAGACATGTTTACAAAAGAGTACACAGCATTCTCTTTAAAAAGAAACTTTCAGCCCAGAGAATGCTACAAAAGTTAGGAAACCAAACACTGTGCAAGGAGGGAGTAAAGATCCAGACAAAGGTTCTTTGTTTGCAATGACCGAACTCGACCTCACATGACTATGAACAATAATGAATATGCAATTTGGCAGTGGCAGAACTCAATGTCAGCAGTATTGCCTTTGGTATACAATATATTAAGAGCATCTAAGAGTGTCAAGTGGCCACGAAATGGACTGATAAGATTGTGTGTAGAAATGGTTTATACTTTATATCGCGTTTCAAGACAAATTATTTTTTTCTCTTCTATTTCATTCCCTTATCTTGAGAACAAATGCAAAATTCATTAAGAGTACAGTGACTCTCTGCTATGTAATACAGCATATCGTATCTCTATAATTTTGAAAAGAAAAGGGCATTTCAGCCCAAGCTGCTCCTGGCTTTTCCCTTGAACTTGTTACTCACATTAGTACAAAAAAAGCTTTTGTTCCAAGAGAAAGAACCAGTATAACTAACTGGGTTAAAACCAGTATAACTAACTTTTACCTTTTCACCATTTATCTATCAAGAAATTACACACATACTTGTATTTCGTACAAATCAGAAAATCCTAACTATCGAAAGGAATTTGCCAGCATTTTTAATTTAGGAATACTGAATGACAGAATATGGAACAAGATTCTCCCATACTCAGGCCTTGAGCAATTATCTGCCATAACAATGCAAGCTTCCCCGTGCCTGCTGTGAGCAGGGGGTACATGTTTTCAGGGTGGTTATTTCAGTTCTCTGCTTTTCTTTGTTGAGGGTATTTGCAAAGCTGACATTTTACCTAAGAGTTGATTTTATCTGAAAAACAACAGATGAAACAACTAATTTACTGTATAGGCTCTAAATACTATTGTATTAACAGTGGTATTATCCATTCATAAATCATTAAAAATCAGTATGTGTGGAGGACTCTGTTGTGTAAAGGATAAATCTAGTTTTGCATTTGCAGATATTTCAGGTTTCACTAATGATTTTATTTTATGTCAACCCAGTGAACTTCTACTTGTTGACAACTTTCCCACAGAAGACAAAAACTTTCTACTCTACCTCCCTCTCCAGGAATCCAGAACTGCCTTCTACCCCTCCAAACAAGAAACCAAGGAATAGAAATAAAGAAATCTGAGAGCTAAGGGCATTATGGACCATTTTGAAAAAATGGCATGCCATAGAAAAATCACAAAATCATGATCTTACCAAATTTGCTCTGATTCATCCTTCAGGGATTGCCAATTGTTCTAGAATAACACAACCCCTAATTAATATGAGGTGGTAGGCAAGTCTTTCATCAGTGTCTCAAAAGGAGGCAGTTTTCACTGCTCAGGTTTGCTCGATTGTGCAGCTGTTGGCTTTAGAAGGACTTGTCACATCTTGTAATTGAAAGCACCATAGATATTAGAAGTTGGGATCACAGATAGCGCTTTCAGCCAGTGCACAAGAATCTTTGCAACAGTTTATATGACACAGGTGTTGAATCACATGACATCCCACCCCTCCCCTCGTTTTCGGGTATTTGGGACTGTAATCAAGGCATTGCTGTGTGGGACATTGGAAGAGTCTTAATGCCTTTGACATGAAAGACACAAGACCTGCTAGTTGGGAAATTTTCTCAGAATTTTGGAGATGTCTTTTGTAAAAACCTTGGGAGAGTTAGGAAAGTGTCTGGGCATCTCTTCTGATCTGATGCAATGATCCTGACGCAGAGTGCCATGTATTCTAATGAAGGCTTTACACTCCCAGTATTTGCCAATCCCATATGTGATTATCTGTTCTGTAGGTGAACAGAGAGACATCTCCAAAGGGCAACACTCCGTGCCCCCCAATTTACTCAAGCAAACCAAATGGATTTGCTGATTTGGGCTTTGCAAAAAGCACGCAGGAACTAAACCTCCCCGTAGATGTCTAGATATATTTCCTTTTTGTAGGTCTTTCTCACTAAAAAATAAAAGTTCTCAAAACTTTAGCTTACCATACACGTAGAAAATTAACTTTATGTAACTGAAATTTTATCTATGAACACAATCAACAAAAAGTAAAGTATAAATTTTGTTTCAAATTAACTGAGAACCCTGACAAAAAGCAGTTTTTAGCTTTTGGCCTTCTCTTTCCACTAATCTGGCTGCACCACTTGTTACATTCCAATTCTGACATTCAAATCATCTTGAGCAATTTTCCCACAGTGTGTTTCCCAAACAACAGCATTTTTCCCACTCCCACTTATGTGTCTCTTGCATCTGGAACTGCAGAAAAATATCCTTGTTGGAGCCCTCAGACCCAGCCAATAATTGTAATGCAGTGCTAGATATCAAAAATTATGGGTGATCATTTGACCAAAACAATACCAAATGATCCAGCAAAAGCATACTTTTTCCATTACTAAATAACAGATATTCAACCCATAAAATGATAAAATCTTACATAGGGTTGCGGTTTTTTTCACTGCTTCAAAAACCTAATACTCTCCCAATCATCTTATACATTCATGAGAGCACAAATAGTTTTATTTTTATACCCTAAACTATTAAATTGCTTAGTTATTCCAAGATATTCACTTGAAATGGCAGAGGCCATGAAAATGATATAATCTCTTTCTAAGAGCTGATGTTTTTGCAGCTCTCTCCTTTCCTCTTTATAAAATAACAGAGCATTTTACTAGCTTGGTGTTTCACACATGACCAGCCACTGCTTCAGAAAAATTACACGGCCATCAGAAAACATCTGTTTCCTTATATCTAGCCTAAATTTTCCCTTTTTTCAGTTTGTAAATAGTATTATTATATTATAATATTTATCATAATATAAATTATAAATATTATGTTTATATTATGAAACAAAAAAAATAATGAGCAGGCTAATGCACTTTGAATGTGCATTCAGAAATCTGCTTTAGTGGTCAGAATATACTGGGCATGCATCTGCCTCAGACTCTTCCTTGCAAAAAGTTTTCTTCTCATTTTCTATCTGTGCTACTGCAGTGTCTCTGAGATCAAACTGAGCTCCACCAATCAAGCTGAGTTGTGTTTCCCCATGAGATTTTTTCAGAAAAGAACTTTCTGTGCATTTTCACCTGTGACATTTTTCAGGTATGTTTTTGAGGACAGTTAGTATTTAGTATTCCTTACATAACACAAGTTTAGAGTGTGCTTATAAAGTTAATGAATAAAACAGAGTTGGGAAGCACCGGCCAGGCTGGAAACTGGAGAAGACCCCTATACACTTAAGAAGTAATTTATGGAACAGTCTTCCAAGAGGATTATGGGGCAAATATCAGCCCCAAGTTTAACCCACATCATGGCATCATCCTGACATTTTTGGCCATTCCTCATTCAGTTTCAACTCCTCTGGTAGATCATTAGCATGTATAGGCCAGGAGGTACCATCGATAATCCTACCTGGTATGATGAAACATGGAACAAAATTTCATAGCTTGTTTACACAAGCAATACTTGTTGCTAAAAATATCTTAGTTACTATATTTTAACTAAATTTCAAGCACTAGCATGCTATCTTATCTGCTTCTGATCAGTCCTCAAAGTGAGTGCCAATATATTTTTAAACATAATTTATTTTCTAATCTAGGCCTCGTTAAATCTCATAAAACCTGGGTCAGGCAGATCCGGAGCAAAAGTCAGCTGCATCTGTACTTAGAAAATTTAGAAGCAGAATAATAGACAATCAAAGAGTCTCTATGCCATTTTGCAACTTTGTGGTCAGTAGCACGATCCACTCTCTTTGCTTCTCTGCTTTTCCTGTTATTCTGGACAAGATGTTTCCTGACCACAGATGTGTGTGATATTCCTGTGGTTAATTGATATTCAGAATTTAAAGAGGCTCCATACAATGCAAAGTGTGCATTTTCAGAGGGCTACACTAGAAAAACTGTATGCTGGTGAAACCCTCCAGTGAAGAAATGCCTTAAATCTAACTTGTGGGATTTGCTATGGGAACTTGAAAGGTTTTTATTTAATGTAAGAGAAGGAAAAGAGGTAAGTGTTGTTATAGCTAACCACATTTCAAATAGCAACTGTGTCTATAATCCTTCTGATTCAGTTTTAAAGACTTGTTTCATTTTTGCTAAACTTAGATTTGTTTTCTCATCTCCAATCTCTTCAATTTCTTCCTTTCCGGGCTAAACTCTTGTCCTGGGTTACCACCACAACTCTGTATTTGGTGCAATGTCCATGAAATCTTTAGACTCTTTTTCCTCAGTATGGATCCTGACTTAGTCTAATTAAAATTAAATATAAGAAAAAGGGCTAAAACAGTAAATATAGTACAAAATAAATAAAAAAACCCTCTTGTGAATGTTGATTATATCTTCTCTATCGACTTGTTATTTGTGGTTTAGCTTATATAGCCTGAGGTCATTGGGGTAAAATCACAGCATGGCAAAAGCCAATGGCAAATCTTCCACCCTGACCAGGAAAGCTGCATCACACTGGTATATAGTATGAATATCACAAACTTATACACTGTATTACAGGACAACAACAGCTACCTACTTTCTGAACCCTATTTGAACTTATACTGTACGCTTCTGTCTTACTCAAGCATTTGACTTATGCAGGGAGGATTTAATTAATGTAGAATTAATTCAACTGAGAGTAACCTTTGAAACCATGCTTACATTATCAGCTGTGATTTGTGCAGGATACCTCATGGAGCTGCAATCTATGCATCCTTACGTAACAGGCATTAAGAAGCAGTTACACAACTTAATGCAAACACCACCAGCAGATGAAAATCCATGGCACAGACAGGATCTTGAGTAATCATCAAAGCGGTGCCAGAAAGCAAATTCTACCTGCAGAAAACATTTTTTGTACTAAATCCATTTCAGTAGATGCTCTGTACTTCTATCGCTAGTAACCGTAATCCACAAAGTGGATTTTCATTGTAAACTTTTTATGCTTCAAAACCTGTTAGTACAAACTTTGACCAACACTGCCACAAAATGTGTGTGCAATTCAACTCATATCTTTACTGACTGCAATAATAAACTTTTGGTCTAAAACAAACAGGTCATTAGCAAACAGATACTTTTGTGCACTGAGGTTACTTGGGCCTCTCTCTTCCTGTCATCCCATTCTACATGCACTGTTCAGACACTGAGTTTGGTGTCTGAATATCTCTTTATGATGCCAGAGCACTGCAGGTTTCTCAAATTTAGTATGGGTGAACATACTCCATTTCTCAGTGCACAAAGTTTATTAGTGCCCTTTAATTAAAACTGTTAATTCAGGCAATACTTTCATTTCAGGGTATGTCTAAATTCAGGCAGTCATGCCTATAGATACATCTATTCTAAATTCAAGAAATTATATCCAATTATCTTTGTACTACCTTCAGAACATCATCTAAAGTTGATATAGTTTCTTGATAAATTAGTTTCATTCTTTATAAAAAGAGCATTCCAAGACCCCTTTTTACGTACTTCAACATTGCAGAAGTTTAAGTGCTGTATAAAGTACTACATGGGACAGATTCTGGTCCCTTTTGCATCGATAGAAATTGGGATTATTCCAAATTTCCACTGTCATAACGAAACAGAATTTTTTCCTCAGTCAAGATGCACATGGATAGCCAGATATAATTGTGTGGTCAGAAATACTTTTTAGAAGACACATAGTTTATCACAGTTTAACTTCATGTTTTCCAGTAGTAAAAAAAAAGAAAATAACTTAAATACTGATAACATACCTTTTCTCTCACTTAAATTCCCAGTTTAAAAAAATAATAATCTGGTTTGTTTGTATGGCGACAATTCAATTCACCAGAAAATATTTCCCTAATTAAAACAACATTGAATTTGCCAAAGCCCTTTAGACCACAGTAGTATCAATGGGATTAATCACCAAATCATTCTTTTCTTGAACCAGGTGCTTTCCTCAGTGTTACGCTTTGCTACAAGTTACATCCAATTCAGCTATGCTTGAAAACACTATAATTGTGTTGGCCAGGAACATAATTCTTTCCTTAATGAAATAGGTTTCCAAAGTGGTTTCCACCACCTACAGTTTGGAAACAAGTATACTGTCATATAGGCTAGTTTCGCTCCTTGCCTGCTATTGGCAAACTGCCATTTTATCTCTATATGCACAGTTAACACCTCTGCATACAAACTAAGGATCTATGAGTACAAAAAAATCTGGAAAATGTGATGAAGCATTTATTTACTATCTTCTGGCCTTTGTCTCTTAATTTTTTTAAATGTCTATGTACCGGTTATTCCAGAATTGTCTGTCATCTACAACATCCTAATTGTGTTGCTTTAACTAACAGGTACCTACAAAGCATCATTCCACAGACTTATTTTTAATCATAGATTTCTCATCCTCGATTAAAAAATAACAATAAAAGAACACATTAAAAGATAACTGTAAAACAGGCAGCAATTCTGAAAGAATTCAAGCTGCTCTGCTCCACATATTGCTCCCTTCTAAGGCACCTGGGAACCATTTATTTCCCCACCTGCAAGTATCCTGGGCACTGTACAGACACCTCTAATTCTATTTTCATTTTCTTTTATGCAAAAAATATGACTAAATATGCAGTGTCTTCCCATGGTCAGGCAATCCTAACATATATGTGGTCATGAATAAGGACATAAATAAAATCTGCCTGTATGAGGCATGATTCATATGTAGAGGGGAGATACCCACAAGAGGTGCCAGAGGTGATCTCTGTCCTCTGCTATTTTATCTGTCCTGCTGAGGCATTTACATGGCTCCCATTACTATGATGCCAGAATATATAAGGACATACGGCTGTTCTTACAACACTCAAATAAGGTAGACAGATTACATGGGTTACTCCAGGTCAGAAATTTGAAGCAGAACAGATCATTGCACAAGTTTCACATGCTCTCAATGGGTAGAAGGTGTTTATCAACCATTTCTATATAAATCAACACCTAACCCCATTCCCAAAGTATCCAAGTGTTTCTCAAGCATTTATGCTAAAATATTCAAGAAGCTCTATCTTGGATGTTTTACTGGACACGAACCAATGGCTGAAATCACTTGTAGCAGCTTCTTTCAGTGCACTTTAAATGGTCTTTAACTATGGTTGTCAAGATAAATATATTTCATAACAAGGCTTCTAAATGTCTATATCAGTCAATCATTTTAATCACAGAGTGCTGAGTAAGACTATATTTTCCCCGTTGTCCATGTGGTCATAAAATTAAATTAATTTCTATTAAATGAAGATGTTGTTAACCTACTCATGCCTTCAAGTTTTTAAAGTTCAACTATCAGAATATGCTTTAAGGCAGTGTTATAGCTGAAACTGCTTTGGAAGCAAAACATTCCTGTTTACAAGCATGAAGACGTTATGCCCAAAAAATAAATATATGAATACGGTCTTGTTAATTTACTGAAGTCAGCAGTGAGATTTCTGCGTGGGACACAGGCATGTTAACATCTACTATGAGTGATGTAAGTTGAGGCTGATGGCTGGATGGCATCTGGTAGCTTCTTCTGTAGGTACCCATTGCTGGCTGCTGGAGTACCACATTGTATGCCCCTTAGGGTGCTTTGCAACAAGTGAAGGAATAATGCTCTTTATGCAATCCTTTATGATTCCTATATGATACCATACGGTCAGAAATTATTAATATTTTTATAATTATCTTTATCTGTAAAATGGCAAAATACTTACCAACCTGGTAGGATGTTGGGAAGGATAATTAACTGTGATTTGGAGATGCTCTTAAGACTGAAGAATGCTAGGTCCTGCAAGAGACAAATATATGATCCACTGACACTTAAGTTAACACACATCCTTGTCATCACCTCTGCAGCTTTTACAGCAACAAGCAAGGCTGGATTGCTCAAAATTAATAATGGGTTTGGATAACACCTAGCAATGAGAAGTAATGTGTTCCATATGTTGACATCTTCTCCATTAAAACATGTAGTGTTACATGCAGTTTCATCTAAATCTTTTTCATCCAGTAGTATCTTTCTAACACAATGGATTGCTGTATCTCTCATCATTTGGGAGCTATACTAGATGACCTTTAAAAGTCCCTTCCAACCCAAACTGTTGTATGATTCAAGGATTTTACTGATGCCAATACATGTTCATGCTCAATCAGCTTAGGCACCGGTTATTTGCTGCACATTTCATGATAATTTTTTAAAAATAATTTTATTTTCTAAGTCAATTTCTATTTTCTATTCTTGATTTTAAAATTACAAGGATATGTTGCAGCTACCTAGACAAAATCCTCATGACAGAAAACCTGCAACCAATAAAGGCACCAAGGGAAAAGCATACAAGAAAAAGTGTAATGAAGTTCCGGGTGCCAAAGGCACTTCCTGCAGCAGCACCATTGCAGCAACGTAATGAAGGATATTTTCAGCAACTAGTTAAGAAATTCTTTTACTGGTGACAATTTGAGGTTAGTTGGACTGGAATTGATGGCAATAATGCTAGAGTTTCACACAATGCACCCATTCAGATGACTTTGGAAAGCTATGTGCGCCACCTTTCATATCATCATGCTGGAATATCTTGACTATTTCAGCTGTGACCAATGTGAGCTTCAAGATTAATTTAATATATTAACCTTAATATAGTGCAGTGAGATGTAAGATCCAACCAAATCTAAAATGTTCTTAACATTATAGATGTTCAGAGATCTTAATAACATCTTGCGCTAGAGCTGGTAGGATATTTTTTAATGAAAGAATGGATGACAAGTATAATATAAAATTAGTCTTTATAGGAACTTTTTTGTTGTTCATCTCATATTTCATCTACAAATATGGTTGTCTCAATCACTTGCTGAAAAATGAAGATGTTAGGTCAGAAATGCTGTAACACTGCCTTATGGAGAGAGAGGATGAGCTCACAGTTCAACAGGAATAATTTAAAATCAACAATGTCACTGTGTTTCAGGAGAGATGTAGTTTGAATGCTTCCTGCCTTCACTCACCTCTCCATGCCAGGATTCTTGGCAAGGTTATATGTTCTGCAACATCTGCCATGGTATAATGCATCTTGAGAGATTTTGCCTGAGATAGAAGTTCATACACCAAAATGCATCTCCCCGGGTCTCTGCAGTGATATTTCTGAACAGAAAAGCATTTCAGTTTTCCCTCTTTCAAATCTATGGACAAATCTGTGAACACAGGCTAACTTTTCTCCATTCTCTTTACATAGACAGCATTCCACATACACATGACAGTATTTCCAATAAGTTCAGACATGCAGGGCAGTTTGAGGCAGAAAAGCACTAACAGATAATGTAGATATAAATCTAAGTCCTGACTCTCAAACATGTGTTGAGCTGAACAGTTCCCTCTCAGGAGGGGAACCTCAGTGGTGCTGAAGAGGCCTGTGACACATGTATTACTCACAGGAGCCAAGTGCAAGACTGGAAATTCACTTCCAACTCATTATGCATGTATGGTTTCAGTTGTCTCAATGGCAGGCTTACACAGATACATGCAATTTAAGTATACAGCAGTGGGAGTAACAAAAACCTACAAGCATTCAGTGTAACAGCAATACACTCCAGCAGACACCTCTCCACAGCAACTGGGATGAGCTGGGAGCTGCTGCTGTGCCATACTTCAAACCAGTACTTTTCATGGAGACCAAACAGAGCAGAAGGAAGGCTATGAGGAGTTCTCACATTTTTACATCAGCATGTTCAAGTGTACACAATACGCCTTCAAAATTTCCATTTCAACCCCCGGATATTCATTTTGGAAAGAGTAAGATTCAAGATGTAATGACCATAAAAGATAATAAGAAAGAAATCCGTGCATGAACAAGAGGAAGGAAAAAGTAGGTTCACTGTTTTTGTGGAGATGGAAATCTAATGATGAATGATGCTGAGAATGATGTTGTGTCTTTTCATTTTCCACAACATTTGCCACAGATAAGTAACAATTCAGTGACTGCTTTTGCTAATTCCTTAAATACCCCAGAGCAGTTTTTACATATTCTGGTCATTTCTATATCATAGAATCATAAAACATTCTGGGTTGGGAAGGACCTTAAAGATCATCTAGTTTCAACCCCTGTGATGTGGGCAGGGACACCTTTCACTAGACCGGGTTGCTCAGAGCTACATCCCACCTTTAAAATATTCTTTAATCTGTTCTTTGTGTTTTCTTACTTAAGGTCCTACCACACAGATAGGATTAATTTTGCTAAACTTCTAGACACAGGAAACTTTCAGAGTGAAAGACCTGAATAATTTCGCTTTCTTACCATCTGCTATTTGATTTCATTTCATATTAAGTAGTAAACTTCTAACTGGAATTTGTCTTCCCTTTACAATATGGAATATTTTCGTTTTGATTTTTTTATACTCTTCCAAATATGTATATGTTTAGCCTTCTTGATTTATTTCCTATATTCTTGGCCTTTATTTTCTTCCTCAGATATGTCTTCTATTGTCTTGCTTCTATTTCACACACATTTCTTTTTGATTTTCAAGTAATAAAAGTGATCCTGATGCAGTTTCGTCATTTGGGGAGTGGGAAGGGTGTGTGGAGGCATAGGCACAGCTCTCTCTAAATCATAAGGTTCAGTTTTTAATCTTCTTAAATATATCTCTATAAGAATAGGATTATTATATGCTAATACCTGGGAAAATCCAGTTGCTGATATATCTAGTAGATATTCTGATGAGTGAAAACAGATTTGGTGCTAATCAGGTGGGAAAGTCTGAAATAGTGACACAGAAAACCATTGTGGGTTCTTAATCTAGAGGTGTTAACCATCTGGGATAACATTACATATATTGTGACCACAATAATGTAACCCCAGGTCTAGCCCAAGAGGAGCTGTAATTCTGTCTCCCTGGGCATCTGCAAGATCTACAAGGTCTACAAGGTAGCAAGTTGTGCTCTAGTACAGTCAAAAGGGATGATAATTTGGAGGTTTTTTGAAAAAAAGCATTAATAACACAAAACTGGAGTGGACTTACAGGTCCAAACAAGTTATATAAATGATTTGCCACACTTGATGTTTTGTCTGCTTTTTCTGTGCCTCCTACAACCTAGAAAAATTGTCCTAAATCCTGCCAAGTCCTGAGAGATTACTGAGAGACTAAGGAAAAGAAGAACTAGACTGAAGGGCCAACACACTGGGTGAGCTCCATTCAGGTAAGCTTAGATATATATATTTGTGTCTCTCTCTCTGGAAAGAAACATTAATTTCTAGGGCACAGTCCTTCTGATCCCAAAGTAGATGCCTCAAGCATCCAGATGCATGGCTCATAACAGGTTCTGAAGGACTCTGTTTCTCAGCACTGAATATAAAATTTGTTTAGGGTGACTAGTTCAAATATAGATAAACCACTGTCTTCTAGTAATAGCAAACCCCATCCCAGATGACAAGCCTTGACAGTCCAGTATTAAAGCAAATAAATTAAGAGTTTATCTAGATGCACAGGACTGATATGAACCCCTGAGATATTTGTATTTACCCAGTGTTACAGCTCAAGGAAGCCAAAGCCTGGACTTTGAAATATGAAACTATAAATAACTCCAGATTGATCATCAAAGGCTTTAACCAGCTCAAGTCTACTCGAGCAGAACTTTGCAGCTGGGCTCCCATCTTCCCTGCAGAGTTGCCTCTGTCCTTAGAGTAGACATTATCCTCCTACTGAGGATCTCCAGGGATCTCGCTGTGATGGAGCTAATTATAGGTAATCTGTGATTAAATATGTTCACCAGCACAATTTGTGGGTTGCATGGTATGCTCTGCTATGCCAAGCAAAAGGATCTGACATGGGACAGGAATAAATATCAGCTTGGACTGCAGGAGATTAGTGATCTGAAGCACCTGTTGTGTGACAAAGGCATCCAAGCTCAGATGCCAGTTCAAACATATTCCCTTAAACAAAGAAGCTGTGTCATGTAATGTTAGGAAATACAACTCTTCCTTAATCAAAACCAAGGAATCACTTTTGAATATTTACTTTTTACTGGAGACCAGAGGAGGGGTGAGCAGAATGGCTAATCCATCGACTGTGCTACAAATGTTGTAAGAAGGGACAATTCTCCCTGTAAGGAGACTGGAAGCTAAAAATACAAGGCAGAAGCTGAAGGGCAGGCCAAAGGCACAGGGTGATATTCTGTGTCTCTGATCACACAGCAACCCTGTGCCCAAGGGCTGTTCTCTGTCCCCACAACACTGCTTAAATACAGAGAGTGACGGTGAAAATGAGAAAAGCCTCTAGAGATTGTAGAAAAAGTTGCATGGAATGATGGCTTTCACTGTCCTTATGTTAACATGAAGTCAAAGATCTCAATTGTTCCAAGACCACAGCTGGCAGAATCTGCTGCTAAATGATTGACCCTACCAGCACTGACTGAGGACTTATGAATCCAGTAGTGGGATTTCATCACAAGTAGTCTCAAATTGGATCAGAAAGTTGTTTTACAGAAACCATTGCACAAATAATGAGTGAGCCTTAGGAGAGATCCAAGTACTGCATCAGTCCTTACTGAATTGGACACACAGATCTGGAAAGGGGCTTTGTAAAACCCCAAAGTTCCCCAAGTGCTTCTGGTCTGAACACAAGGAGATGCAAGAAACAGGAATATGTTCTACATAATACCACAGAGTCATTCTGTCTTCTACACCTAACAAACTTAACCAATACAAAAAACAAACAAACAAACATACCTTAGCTGCTGAATCCCGGTGGGAAAGTAAAGGGGAAATTACATCCTCCCAAAAGTTTATGGAATTGTCAGAGACACACGGAGCTCAAAAATACACAAGACACCCTCAGGGAGCACCGTGAGTTTCAGAATAAAGTCCAAAATATTCTGTTCATGTAATTTCTTCAAAGTTAGGATCAAAAATGAAGCAGCCAAATGAAAAAAACAAATCATGAAAGTACTAGTAACAGAATATGAAAAATCCAAATAACCTGTAGAATACTTCTGATTCCTTGTTCCAGGGCTAGCACTTAGTACGTACGTACTTGAACATAACAGGATTTATTCCTATCCGTGGACTCCACAATGTATTTATGTTCGCAATTGATGTATTGCACAATGCAATGAATAACAAAGTAATAACAGAGAAGAAATCAGTTTCCTTGGCACCACGTTCTGGATAGTAACAATCTGCATATAGCACATGACTCATTGGCAATTCTCTTTCATATGCCAGTTTAAAGGGAACAATATAGAAGTTCATGAAATTCTGCCCATATCATCAGCTATATCCTGTTCAGATAATCAGTGTATATAGGTGTTGGCTGTGAGGTATATTGTCCACTAACTAAAGATTATTAAGCAAAAGCAGTTACCAGAAACTTATGAGCATGACATAAGTAAAGCAGTTTCTTTAGGCCATTAGATCTATGACAAAACAACTATAATCACATAAAAGGAGAGTATAACCTTTAGAGAATTAACAGCCACCTGTTTTACAGGTGGGAGAGAATTAATTTTTTTCCGAAAAGAAGGTGGCAGGCAATTTGCTTTGGAAACACTAAATGCCTTCAGTGTTAAGATCATAAGACTTAAGCTACCACTGTGGGTTGTTTCAACAAGAACAGCACAAGTCATGCCACCACATCATGGGATAATTCCTGTTCTTCATGGCATTCAATCAAGAAATGTCTCAGTTCTGAGGCTTGCTTTTTATTACTCTTTGTAAGAACAACACAGGGAATAGAAATTTAGCACAGGGGAGGTAGGTGGTGGACACAACACACCTCCAAACATTGCCTAGTTAATTACAGCTGTGGAATGAAACTCAATTGTAGCGTGAGCCAAATAGATTCTGGTTTTTGTAATTACTTGTTGCTATATTAATGTTACTTTTATAGTGATTAGAAAAGCCCTGATTCAGAAATGAGCCACCACAGGAATGACAAGTATTTCAAACTGGAAAAAAATGCACTGGTCTTTCCTGATGCAGATCCACCAAGTGGTAAGGTGGTAAAAATGAAAGAGAGTCTTAGAGCAGAAAAAATATTTTGCTTAGCCCATGCATGCTAATAAATACCTATTAGACATGAGTATCAGAGAATCCTGTGGGGAAAAAAGTGGATGAAGCAGGTCCACTGTGGAAGCAGTTCAGGAAGACCAGGCCCTTCTAGAGCTAAGAACCAGAGCAAGCAAATCCTCACTGTTGCTGCACAGTTGATTCCCATATCTGCATGTGGGTGCTTAGCTAAAAGGTGCATTACACCCACAACTGAACACACACATGAACCTCAGTCTTGGTTCAGGATAACGTATCTACACAGCATCATGTACACACTGAAGAAGCATCAATACACCTCTTTCTGCTCTGTCCTAAGAGCACATCCTCCCACTGCTTTGTGCTCATTTGGCCTCCCATCTTATTTCTTTTTTTCTCCTTCACTTACCTGCTTGCACTTCTTTTGCCTTTCGACATTTTTCCAAATCAAATGAATGCTATGCAAAAGCTGTTTTAGTACAATATTTACCCAGCAAGGTCAGGAAGATGGCAAAAGCTATCTGGCGTACAAAGATGGGGGAGAAGTGCAAACAAGAGCAGTTATGCCAGACCCTTACAGAAGCATACCCACAGGCAGGGGCAGAGAGACCAGAACAGCTAAAATCAGTCAAGCCCTATGCTGAGCACTGCAGTAAGGCTCAAGGAATACTCATGTAAATCATCCCAAATCTCAGGAGACTAAAAATATATTTAAATTTTCCCTCACATTGTGTAAGAAAAAAGTTTTCACACAAGAAGCAGCTATTTCCTAGTAGAAGACTTTTGACCAGAAAACACTTTATCTCCTAAAGGTATCTCTCACTTGAGAGCAGAAACAAAAGCAGGATGCAGAGATCCAGTATTCTTCCACTCCCTATCAGCTGCTATTGGTTATTTAGAAACTCATTAACTTCCTAAAGAGACCTTAGCCCTAATTAGTGCCTGGACTGATCAGCCTGCCTCTCTCTCCTTCACCTCTGCCTCTCAGAGCTTTCTACAATGATTAAAGGAAACCATACTCTTTTTCTACAATTTTTAAAATGGTATTTCTTGAGTTATCAGGATCTGCACACAGCTGTTGAATTCAGTTCTGCCTTGTAGCTTACCAGACCACTCCAGAATTCTCCAGCTTGCTTTGGCACCCTAATTCTTTATTTGTATATGTATCACTCTTAAATCCTTCACTAAACCAGGCTCTGTAATTTCCTTTCCTTGGTCTCTCATGCAACAGAATCTGTTTTAACAGTGATTGAAGTGTCACCAAGACCATTCAACCAACTGTAACGTTGATGCTAATCCTGCAGTCTTTTAACACTATCAATAAGAGGGAAATTAACAAAAAAAATTGACTAATTTCATCTTCCAGAATTATAATGTATTTTTTATGTAGATATGTAGCAAGACCCAGTAACAAAAAGAACTTACCAATAATAATGGAAAGACAAGAGGACTCCTTACTTTAATTTCTGTCTAAATGGAAGCAGTTAACACTATTAAGTTCAATAAGTATGAGTACTAAAAGATAAACAAACTGCAGAAAGCAAAATGAGAAAAACTATGATTGCAAAGCACAAGCACAGTCTTACTCAGGCACTTACACAGTTTAATGCATGTGGCCAGTATATACAAATTAGTTTTTAATTCCTGAATTTCTTCCAGTTTCCTAGAAATATGTTTCACATTCAGCATGTCTGCACATGAAAATAAAGGCTGCCATGCCCTGAAACTGGTCTTTTTGGATGACTGGACTCAGGATACTCTGCTGTACAGCCACAGGTACACTCATAGTCCAGCTAAAGCCATCCTCTTCCCAGGTAACTGTGATAGTCTTTATTCACCAAAATAAGAGGAAGTATTGTCCTTGCACATGAACTATCAAATAGTCAGTACAAGGGCTACAAAGTAGTAATACTACCCTAACACCTCTCTAATTAATATAATTACTGTAAATGCTACTTAAAGACTTATCTCATTGTAGATATGTACATAGTATCATAGGAAGGCAAACTGAAGTTATCATAATTATTTATCATAATTATGTACTAATGATAACCCTAGATTTCTTTTTCTCAAACCATGTTTGAAAAACATTATCACTACAGCAACAGAAATTCCATCAAGAGTGAAGATAATAAGCTCCTGAAGGGTATCCTACTAGTAGCAATTAAATTGCATTCAAAAGATTTCTCAGCTAAAAGACAGTGAAAAAATTGTTTTCTAGTGAAATAACAAAACATTTCAACAAAACATGATGCCATTATGACCAAGAAATTTATTAGCACTATATCTAAGAGAGTAATGAAGCTACAAGGCCCATTTAAAATAAGAGTCAGTAGCCTGATAAAAATGTTCCTGTTCTGGCATCCTTACCTTGACTAGTCACATATTTACCAAACTTGAGCCAAAGGTATGAACAAAACTCTGATTAAATATTTCCTGAATTCTATTGCTGTTTTCCTTAGGATTCCATATATGTGTGTACCCAAACCACAATTGCCTATGTTCTGCATTCTTACATTCTCATACACAAATTTCAAATTCTGTATTAACTGTCCTTTGTATTCAAGCACAATTTTACTCACACACTCAGGCATTTTCAATTTCTTAAAGAACAGACTTTAAAAAGAAGCATATTGAATAAGTAGATGTTTTCCTCCACCCTTCTTAAGTAAAAATTTCAGTTTACATAAATCTTGGGAGAAAAGATTTCTGCTTCAGAGAACTCTGTGAGATAGAAAACTCTCCCAAACAAGAAGTGTTTCCAGATTTGTAAGCACAGCTGATCAATTTTCAGACTTTCAATCCTGAAGAGCACTGCAATATTTCTGCATTCATTCTCTGCAGATTTTGGTTGAAAAGCTGAACTAATGAACCCTATGGAAATATGAATATATCCTAAAAATATACTCTCCTGACAGGATGGAGCATTATCTTATTACCAGATCTCATTTTTAAATAACTTAAGGGCAAGAGATCATCCTTAGAGTGAATACTGCATTTCCAAATGGCCCTCTCTGGCAACATTCTCAGGGCAATAACTCAAAGTTGCCCTCAGAAGTGATGGAGGCTCTCTGTACTTACAGAATGAAGATCAAGTTCAAGAATACATGGTGGGCTCAAGAGCCTTGTTGTAAAGTAGTCTCACTGCAGATAAAGTAGCTTCACTGGAAAAGGTACTTAGTGGAAGATAGCAGTTATTTTTCAAAAAGGCTGTTCTGCATGAAACTCAAAATGCAATAGATTTATTTGGCAAATGTAGAGGAAGAAGCTTACAGTACTGCTAAGTAGTCTAGTACTGCTAAGTAGAAAGAAGTCCATCAGTTTTGTGATCCTGAAAATCACTAGATTTAGATTCCTAAATAACATCTTTTGAAAAATTTGAGTTAGCCATCTAAATCACTTAGGTCAATTTTTAAAGGTATTTAGGTGCCAAGTCCCCCTAGACTTAAAGGAAATTTTGCATAGAATAGCAAGGTAATTTCAAAAAAAAATTAACATTTGAGCATACTAGCCAAGCAGAAAAAGCTATCACCACCACAATAGTCAACCACATAAATAAATCATCAGCATGATTGATCTCACTGACCTTTAATCCCAATGGCTCTTTTCCTAGGCCATCCAGGACACTCTGTCCAGTATGTTAAATCTAAAAGATAATAACCATTGTAGATAAGATGGCTATATACAGATTTTAGATACAAATATCAGGGCTTGTCCCTGCACAAGAGCTACATTGGCCAGTAGTCAGGATGCCCCCAACTTTGGCATGGACAGACAAATAAGAGATAAGAGAAAAAAAAGACACTGCCCCTCATGTGATCTGTTCAAGATTAGAGGCAAGGGCAGTTCACACATCAGGGAAGTCAGGGGCAGGTTTCTCTTGCACACTGAGCTGTGGAAACCTCCCTGAAGAAGGCAGAGAAATGAAATATCAAGGTACAGTTTCTCTCTTTGTCCTTTGAGCTTCTGAGGCCTCTAAGCAGTGAAACTCAGGCTGTATCTGGCCTCCTTACTGCACTTCAAGAGAGTGTGGTTAGACTGAGACTAAAGGGTCCAGCCTGGCTGTGACTGCACAGTAGCACAGGAAGCACAAGAGCCTTTATTTCCTTCCCTTTGGAAGTTATTAAAATAGCTGGGAAAAGTGCAAACCCATGCATGAATAACCTGAGATCACAGCAACAACCTGATGCCAAAGAATCGTGTTAGCTGACCACCATCATCTGCCCAACACCAACACTGTCTCCCTGCCCACAGAGCCTTTTCTAGTTGATGCCATACTGCTGGTGAGAGGAGCAGAGGCGGAAGAAGAAGCAGGAAACCATGATGGAAACACTGCACAAACCGAAGGAATATTGGAAGGAAAGATTTATAGTCAAAATCTCACACATAAACATATTTAAGTAGCATGGGCAAAATCGTGAAGGAGATTGTAGGAGCAGCAGTGTTTGCTGAGCTCAGGGGAAGGGGTAACTGAACAGAAGGGTGGTGGGAGAGGAAACACTGAAAGAGGTGTGAGGGTGTAAAGTCAGCCTAGAGAACCAGAAGGTGACATTAAACAGTAACACCTGCAGACAGTGTGGTTTTAGTGGCATATTGGACAGACGGTTAAGGGTTGCAACTACATAACAAAAATAAAGACTAGGAATTGGAGAAACAAGCTGGTATAGAAATTCATAACACTGATAGAAAAGGAGAATGGAAGGTTTGAGGTCAGTCTTCAACTGGGAATCTCAGCTAAGTTGCCTCCCAACAGGAGGTGAAGAAGGAATGAAACATATGGCATTTGTTGTCTTAGAGAGGAATATCTTTCCAAACTACTTGTTACTAGCCACAAGATTAAGGCCTGGAAGAGAAGTAAAAAATGTCTGGAGGACTGAACTTATTTCAGTCACTTCTGCTATTCCTGAGTGATGTAGGCTTTGGTCTATTCTATTTTAACTGACCTGATAGTAAATTACCTGCATTATTAGTTAAATAATGTATCCATAAAGATCCAAGAAAATTATGTGTGCCTTCATGTTGTTGCTTGCTTGCCATACTGAAAGGGCAACACTAAATAATAATTATTGTAGATAATGCATATAATCAGAACAGGCCAAGGAAAGGTCCGAGAGATGGGACAGCATGCAGAGAAGGGTGAAATGCCTACAGCAGATTTCATACGAGTGAGTCACTTTGCTGTTCTGTGTCACATGTTGTCTGTTTATGGAACACTACTAACACCATCTCCTGGCCAGTTGGTGTCTGGAGTAAAAGCTTTATAAAGGTCTCTGAGAGCCTGGAATGAAAGGTATTGCAAACATAGAAAATACTATCATCACTGTATCTTCGATACATTCATATTCATTTACTTTACCTATGTCAAAATAATACCACACCCGTCTCCAGAATTAGATGTAGTGTGTGGGCACTTAAACTACATTTTTTTCCAAAGGGTTTCCAGCAAGATGTATCAGAATACTCTAAAACTGGCTTATATTTTCAGAACTGACTATTGATTTGGGTATGCTTTGTTCTGAAGTCCACTGAGAAAAACCAAAACTGATATTAAGAAAAAGTGTGAAAACAGACCCTTTCCTAGTGTTTCAAATTCAGCACTTTAAGGCTTACACTCTTTCTGAAACATCAACAATGTGTTTTCCCAACCTATTGATGTCAAAGATTCAGTATTCCCTGGTTTTTTAATCTTTTTTTTTTTTTTGATATCAAGACCATCCAGAGATGCAAAGAGTAACACTTCAACTTGATGTGCTTTTGGCACAGCCAAACAGTCAATAGATCAATGTCTGTCCAAATAACACTTACTGAATTTATCCATCTGTTTTCAAGCATTTAAAACAAGGCTTTGACATCCTCTTGTCTTTCAAAATCATAGCATGTTAAGGCATTACCTTGGAAATTGCTCAGGGGTTATTGCTCATATACATCATATATTGGCCCAGACACCTTTCATTTCAAATTACTTAAAAACTGACTCACAGCTCAAGGAAGATACCTTCTGAGTTTAGGCTTTTGAGACGATATTTCCAGAAAAAAATCATCAGAATCAGTAACTTGTATTTTTGCCTTCAAATTAATTCAGGAACATAAGGTCAACTTCTAATTTTAGCTAATCTCAGAATAAACAAACATCAGCAGAGCTTCCTGCGTCATTAACAGCATAATCAATCTAGAGTCTTCAGCACAGTCTGTCCTAGAGAATTGAGTACTTGGAGCTATAGTGGGCTACTGAGAACAAATCTATGAATCCTTTGGAAGGTAATCCTGAGGGATTTTCATGAAAGAGAACTGCAGTGTCATACTTTCTGGAACAGCTTGTAGGAAATGCTATATGAATGCCATTGGTATATTATAATTGCATACATTTTTCAGATAACCACAATGCTCTGTTCAGCTAGCTTAGATCGAAATGATAGCTTTCTGCAGACTGCATATTTCCTCCAAATACTTTACTAAAAGCCACACTAAAAGAGACAAACTGTCATTTTAAAAGCTAGCAAACAGTACTTTTGACCATCATATGGGATTGTCAAATAGATTTTGAGTGAATCAATGCAACACCAGCTACAGCTCAGCAGAAGAAAATACAAGGGTGTCAGATTTCTCTTTGCTATCAAAGGAAGCCCATGAAAATCTCTGAAGAGTTGTACATGGGCAGTACCCCATCCATCTTTTGCTTTTGGTGTTTTAGTGATTCTCCAAGAAGTCCTCAAACAGCCAATTAAAAAAGTAATATCTGTTTTTCATTTGCGATTGGTTGAGTCATAACTGTAATAAGTAAATGAATACCCAGCTGAGTGCCTCAAACCTTTAGACCAATTGCTCTGCTTCATTCCACTTCATGAAGCTGTAACATCTCTCTACTACTATGAAACATGGTGAACGGAAAGAACTGTCTCAATGGGTATCATCATTAGTGTGTTGGTGCAATTTTAAGAAAACTATATCCTTTAACTGATCTGAAATTTGGTCTGTTATCTGTGGGAAGTCTCAGAAAGTGAACTTTTTGGTCCTTTAGGCTGAATGTACTAAAGGATACGTCTTGACAAACTGGGAAGAGAAACTTTTTTTATGGCACCAGAAGAGGAAAATCCACTGAGACACTCAACTGGTAATGGATTGCTAATCATCCAATCATTGTCAATAAGGCATAAAGGCCAGTGTGAATGTTAAACTGGCAAGCGGGGGGAGTTTACTACCTCAGGTGGCAAAATAGCCTCAGAGATAAGTGGGAGTCCTCTGTTCCAGAAGACATGGTCTGGCAGTCCAGGCAATCGTTCTGCTGCTTCCTGGGAAGCTTTTCTCATTCACAGACAAACCCACCCAAAGTTTGCTTGGGTAGCTTCTGCTCCAAGCTGCTTACTGCTTGAATGACACAGAAGAGCAGTACGGGCAGCTCAAGAGCCCTACACTGGACTTTGCCTTTCCGTGCCTCATTTTCATTATCTGCAAAACAGAGATAATGGCACTAAGATTGTGATAAGCATTATTATGATCAGTTTACAAGCACAGCACAAGCTAATTAATGCAGTTAAGTTTGGTATATGTAGCTCTCAGAGCCACATAATTCTTGATAACAAACAGATCCCTTTCACAGAAAAAGAGACTGTCTCCAAGGATGATGCTATCAGACTGCTGAAAAGTCACAAACTTTTAAAAATGAGGACAACACCAGTATAATGGATACAGTGTGCTAAGGAAAGTAGGTCTTAGAATGAACTAGCAGGATTATGTAGCTTGGGAAACCAAAACTGTGATTCTGATCAGCAGCTGCTATTGATAGAAGTGCAGAGGTTTGTGTTTGATTTGAGGGGGCAGCAGATACTGAAAGTTTATTTCATAGGGAAAATGCATGGATCTTAACTCTTCAGAGAATAGGAATTATGGTGAGTGTTTCGAGAACCTGATTTTTACCAGTCCTTCATGTGTATGATCCTATCTGAATCCCACAAAATAGGTTATAATTCAGCTGGTTCAGACCATGGGGTAGTCAGGAAGCTGGAGAAAGCCTTTGTAGCTCAGGTAGGGGTAGAGGTGCTACAATGGGAGCAGGAGCACTCCAGGTTCCCAGGGCAATACAGACTGCAAATTTGAGGAGAGATTTCTAGGCTTGGGAATGTGAATGGACAGAGGTACTTCCAAGCTAGGTGGCAATCAAGTCTCATATTGTAATTCATCATTCCTCCTGCTGAAATTTTTTCTCGGTTTGCCCCTTCATTTTTCTTTGCTTTGTTTTTTTTATTACTTAACTATATATTTAAAATAAGCAGCAGACATTTAGGGTCAGTTTCTCAGCAATCAATGGAATTGCCACTGAGGGACATCAGAGGATAAACTTGCCTTGGGTATATTTTTAATGCACCACCCACAGTCCCGGTTTTGTCAGCTTTTCTGTAGCAAAGTGTGCAGGCTGGGTGAGCAGCATTATTTATGGCCAACACAAATGGCTGGGAATCAAACAGAAGATCAGACACCTGCTGCAGACTCTTTTAAAGTTGTAGTGACATACTCCAATGCAAGCAGAGAAACATCATATTTGTGCAACCTTCCTAGCACTAGTGGGATAATGCCCAGAAAAGAGAGCATTACTGGAGCAAGAAGAGCAATGGTCACTGTGTCAGAGCC